CAGGAGTATGGCTCCCAGGGAGCTGGGAGCACCCTGAGCACAGTAAAGATCCAGCAGAAACTTCCTGATGTCCATTGATCTTGCCACATCAGGTCCTTTTAACTCTAGGCAGAGGAGCCTGCGTCACTCAGGAGGTTTGTGCTTCTGCTGCCGGCATGTGGAGAGCCGTGGAGTGCCCCACTGCATGGTGGGTCTCCCTCTTCTCCCCCTAATGGCTCACGGATCCACTTGGAACAAAGAGTTAAGGAAGAAAAATCTCCAAAATATGAAATGCTGGACCATTTCCTTAGTGTCTCGACAGCACTCTGTTCGCCTCCTTGAATTACTTTGGCAATCAGGGTTGCATAAGTGTTGGTCCAGTGCCTAGAAAACATTTTATTTTAAGAGAACGGTGACCCACCATGGTCTCTTGCACATCTCTTTTCTAATTTTTCAGAAAAAAAGGAGCCAATTTACAATAACACAGTAGCAAGCATTTGCTCTGTTTTTCCTAATCTTTTAATCTGTTTAAGCCAGGAAAGCTTCAGAATGTACAATTTTAAACTGTCAAAATTTACAAACCAAAAAGAGTCAGTTTCAAAACTGGTCATAAGTCACAAATATCCCCATCAGAACTGTAAAATACAGACATTAAGCCTTCGTATAACAAAATTAAACCACAGGTCACTTTGCTATTTTTAGGAAAGTGTGCAAAGAGCTAATTGTATGGTACACCTAAATGTTAAAAAGTTATACCATGTAAGCAGGTCTGCTGCTGCTATAAAAAATACGCAAGTATAAAATTACATCTACAAAAGTGGTTCATTGATTTGGTTGCTCGTAATAAAAAAGTAGACTTTAAGAACCTTCCTCCTCAACAAACAACAGTATCTTGAAACCAGTCACTGTAGCTGTTATTTACATGGGATGAAACATAATTTACCCAGATCAGAGAGAGGTAAGGAGAACGGCTTGTTCCAGCACACACGTACAATGCAAAGATACACTGCCTGATGGTGTATTTGTTGAACAACACAGTCACTGTGCTACTGCAGGGTGGGATGAATGCAGGTGTTTCAGGACTGCTCTCTCTGATATTACAAAAGACAACCTATGGACCACAACACAGTCATTGAGCTACTCGTAAAATCGCACATTTCTCTGCCACTTGTGCCGATGCACAACCTTTAGCACTCACTAAACACTTAACGGGTAGGGGGAACAGTTCCTACACAAAGTACTCAGTTTGGTTTCATCAGCAGAGGAAAGGAGAGGTGAAAAAGGTTTTTTTCAGGGTTTCCCTTTGGCTCTGTCACCCTCCCAGACGGCAGATGCGGGCCAACCGTGGAAGCTGTGGCAGCCAGCTCGTGCTCAGCCACACACACAAGCACACGACGGGTCCTCGAAAAAAATCCTGTCACTTGGTCCCACATGTGTTGATGTTCTTCCCGTCGGCAGCGTCCTCCACCAGTGAGATGTGGTAGTCGGTTGAAAGGGTGAGGTGGGAGATGCACCCCACCAGGCCCCGCAGGTACTGCCTGTTCGTCTGCAGGGCTATTTCCTTCATGCCACCTGGGGGAAAGGCAGCAATGAGAAATTCGTCCCTGGCACTACTCCTGCTTGGCTGACTGCACACCCAGCAATGCCATCAGCCTTCCTAGTGCACTTCAAGTGAATTTTAATTTGTAAGTTGTTCTGTGGGTTTTTTTTTAAATACAGCTTCTAAGCACTTGAAAGAACAGGGAGGATAAGCAGGTGATAATAAACTCAGATAATAATTTATTGCAGAAATTGTAGCATCAGTAAGAGTCAAGAGCTTGTGCCCAGATTCCCACCAAGGTGTAGAGTTTACAGCTGGCACTCACTTTTTCTCTATGTACCTGCTGGGGAACCCACTGTGCACCCCACGGTGAAGTTCCCTTCTCACGTCAGTCCCCGATCCCACCCAGAGGGGCTTTCTCACAAAAACCATGCTGTAGAAGACCAGAGGCTGCCATGTGAAGCCTTCACCTTGAGATGGACAGAACTGGGATGCCCCTGCCATGCATCACGAAAATACACTGAGGTTGTGAGCACGAATGGTGAGCACTCACCTACATAGAGATCTCCATTGATGTTTAACTGCCTCATCTTCCCAGGGGATTTACTAGTCCTGGCACCGTAGTCATCCACAGTTACTTTGCCAGACTGTCCATCCCTGAAAGGAAAAAACAAGCAGCCCTCATGCATCCAGCCTACAGCCAGACAGGAGGAGGAGGAGCAGCATCTTCCGCTTGCCAGGAGAACAAAATGACTCAGTGCTCGGCAGGGCTCGCAGAGAAGGTTTAGGACCCATATGCTGGGTAGCCTCACAGAGAGCAGTGTGCCACGGCAATCCAGACCCTTCATGTGTTGTTGTTTTTTTCCCAGGGATTGAGATGACAAAAGATGTGCAAGGCATGTGAGACACCTCTGCAGAGGATAAAAAACTGGGAAAGAAGTGCTCAGCTGAGGGCGAGGGGAGGATGGATAGGTTCTGATGGGCTGTTACAAATCAGATGTAACGAAACTAAAAAGCAGAAGCTTCAACAGAAGGGAAGAAACAGGCAAGATAGGGTAAAACATAAGCATTTTTGGTTCTGACTAGAGCTTTTAGGACACTTCCATTTTACATATGGTCAATAACTGCAATGACAGAAGCGCTACTTGATGGGCTCCTAACTGAATTTGATGGTAAGTTGTGTTAATGTTACCCTGCAATTTCCAGGGAACTGATATCCCATGAAGAGAGTGATGCATGCTTTTCCTGCTGGGCACACTTGCCTCCCATGAGGTAATGAGTTATAAATATGAGTTATATATACACGGCAAGATGTCTACAACTCCTCCAAATAGAAGAAGTAGGCATACTCTGTCCGTGCTCCAGTCCTTGTGCCAGCCCGCAAAATGCTCACTAGGGAATTTCAAAATGCAGACACTAAAGAAAAATATTCTTAACCCAAATGGTATGGGTTTAAGAGAATGTCTATCACAGCCCCAGAATAGCCCTGTGTGACTTTGGCAGCCTGCCTTGAGCTGTGCTGAGTTTCAGAGTTGGCACTGTCGCTTCTAATACAATAATCTTTGTGTACATTGTCCTGAAACTGCCAAGTTGCTAACAGTTCAACTCCTAACTGACGTGAGCACATGGAGCCACAGTGATTCACACCCGACCAGCATCCAGACATACCAGCCAGCACTCTTAGTGGCAGGGTGGCTCCAAAATGCCTCCCAGATGAAGCATGGCCACTTACCGAACAGCCTTGACTCTGTGCCACCGGCCGTCGCTGAAAGATCCATTCACCATGATGGAAGCAATGCCACTCCCCAGATTGTAGCTACAATTGGGGGGAGAAAAAACCCAAAAAGTTATTGCCTCCCTTGCAGAGACTGCCTGCCTGCCAAATTCCTCAGATGTCCTTACTCTGTGCCCCATTCACCTGTGCAGCCCCAAGCGCAACCCTTACTTCCCAGACTTTGGAGGGACTGGCAGAGTCCATTGGAAGCCCAGCAGTGATGCACTTATTGTGCAAAGTCAGGTTCACGGAGGAACAGACAAAACTTCCTCTTGCCCAGGTCAGAGTGGGTACCATCACCACAACCCCATGGGAGGAAGGAAGGGGCTTCTGTGTGGCAGTTCCTCCCCAAAAGAGGAGATTATGAAGGTCAGTGGCCTACAGACCTTTGGCCTAACGGGAGAGAGCAGTGGAAACATGATTAATAAATAAATTACTACAAGTGTAATTAAATATGTGACCTATAACAGAACTACAAATCATCTAAACTATAGGGAAGGTTGAGACCTGTGATGTTAGACAGGATGAAGCCTAATAAATAAACACAGAGATAATCGTGAAGCTCCCTGCTTCAGTTGTAGCTCAGATTATTTCTTTGTTTGCTGCTGCTAAAATTACTTAGCAGATATAATGTCCCCATCATGTTTACACTTCAGGCACCCTACTTTCTGGGTCTCAGAAACTTGGGCCAGCTTTCCCAAAGGGGAAGTAGATGCTACAACACAGTGAGCTCTTGGGTGCCCGGCTGCCTAAATAAGCAGAGTGGAGTAGCCTGAGCTGCCGCTGCTGGCCTTCTGCCTGTACCGAGTTTGAGACTTCAAAGCCAACATCATTATCTCTTCAGAAAAGACCAAACTGGGTATTAAGTTCATGGCCAGGGTTAGGTACTTGAAAACAGCACATTGTCAGCCACCCAGAGCAAAATGGTTGTCCTTAAGCGAGTCTCCTTTTACCCAGGATGCTGACAGTAGTCTAGGCTGAGAGCTACAGAGGATTTGGGTGTTCAGGACTGTATCTAAGTGTTACACCTTTGGTTACAAAAGTGAGATTCATAGCCCTAATGAATAGTGATCCCCTACAACAGTGATATCACCTTCTACACAATCAGGGAACAACAGAAAGGATTTACAATGGCAGCTACACTGCACAGCTTATCTACTCTGCTAGGCCATAGGTAATGGGAAAGAAAAGGTGTGTTTTGAATTTCAAACTGGACCAGAACACAAATATCTAACTCTCGGCTGCAGGAAAATACTTCAGAGTAATTCACAGCTCTGGATATTCTCCTGACCTCACCTGTCAAAAGGTGCAAAAGTAGCATGAGGATCACTTCTTTTGAAGGAAGATGATACTTTTTTGTTCTGCATTTGTTCTTTCAGAATCTTCTTCAGTGCTTCCTTTCAGTATGCAGTGAATGTTTATGAGAATTTTTGAGATCTTTTAATTTTACACCTCCCTAAATGTGTGTGGAAGGTATAGATATCTCAGTAAAATTTAGTTGCTTCAGTCTAGAAACTTTGTGAATCTTTGTCTTTTGGGGACAGCAACAACCCTAATAAAAATGTATTATGCCTAGAAAACAGACAGCATAGACAAGACATTTACTACCCAGCATCTTGGAAAGATGGGTTTTCCCAAAGAGATTTACAAAATGCAGCATTTCTGCGGAGTCAGCAAGGAAGCCAATAGCCCTTGAAAAGTTAATCACAGAAAATCACATTTTAAAAAAAAACCAAAAGAAATTAATTTAAGTAGAAATATGCAACTTTTCCTATGCAAACAACCGCCAGGTAAAAGCTAGCTTCGAATTAGCTTAAATGATTAACAGAATCTTTGTCATTTAATCAGCAGTGTCTCACAACAGTCCACAATAATGTTGGCATTTGTGGTTTGCTGTTTCAATCTTTGTCTTACACAACATAAAGGCATATCACGAGGAAAGACAGGGCTTTCAAAAGGCAGGAGTTCAAAAAAGAACCATGCAAAAAGTTGCACGGAGTCTGCCTAATTGTCTGCAAGAGAGAAAGAGAGTCTGGAGAGAGAGAGAGAACGTGAGTTCAGCCATTTCCCAACACTCCCCAGTTTCAGGGTTTTGACTCTAATATTCTTTGTTCCTTAAAAAAGTGGTACTGTGAATGTGGGCAGTAGCAATGCCTGGTGCCAGCTGGGTTTGTGTCACAGGGTTGGACATCTGTGGTTTTGAGAAGGTGGGAGTCCTGCTCCCACACACACTCTCTGGTGCCGGATGAAGAGCGAGTCAGCAGTGAGCATGGGCGTCAGTAGGGTTTTTCCTTAAACCCTGCTCCCCCTGCAAACCCAACACCAAGTTAGGAAGAGGCATGGGGGGAGCTACTGACAGCACTTCTACCTTCATAGGGTGACTTTTAGATAAATACGCTAAGCATCCCATGTTTTAAGAACTAGGAGGGAAGGAGAAGGTGGGAATGACGAACAGCTTGCAGCACATTACCACTTCAGCTCACGTCCTTGCCCAGAGAACAATGGGACCCATCACTGAACAAAACCTTGGGGATGTCATTGTCACACACTAGCTGAGCGTACTGCCTGCCACACAAATAAGGGAAAAAAGAATATTAATGCTCCTTCTTGAAGGCCTAGAGAAATGAAATCACTGTTAGGTCTCATGGGACTGTCTCCCCTCCACATCAAAAGACCATCCTTCATCGCAGTTTTAAACCTCATGAACACATTCGTTCTTGATCCTGACACCCTGTGTAATGGAGAAGATGGAAATAATAGTAAAATACGGAACTGGGATAGTCTTCTTTCCAACAAACCTGCAAGATTATGTAGAATTTCTTCTCTGCTGGTCTTGCTGGTTACTGTCTTGCAACTCACTTACATGCTGATGTGTGAGAGACTCTGGTTCACATCCCATTTCCACCATTTTGGAGTGGGGGTATTGAACTTGTCCCTCCAGAATCCCAAACGCAATAGCCACTGGGTTACTCTACACAAATAAGAGGAAATTTTTTTCTCCCCAAGCCTAGTGTGAAATTCAGTCCAAAAAGCAAATTTTGAGAAAGTCCAGTACATTGGTACCCTTGGAGGCCAGTGGAGGAAGCATAATAAAGGCAAATCAGAAAGTCATGGTAGGTCAGGAGTACAGGCGAGGACACTTGCAAAGCCAGTGACTGAAATACAGGCAGATAGAGGAATTTGTTGGAACAACCCAAAATTTGCTGGAATTTGGACGTCTTCTTACAGAGCAGCCAAAAAGAATTTTGAGGACCTAATTATTAGGATATATAAGGAGTTAAAATCCTTAGTCTCTTTGGAGATACAAACTCTGTATGTCTGTTCTTTGTTCCCAGAAAGCGCACACTACTCTGTCTCCATGTCAGGTGGACACTGTACATGCCATTTCTCTGAAGGTTGCAAGATTGTCAGATATTCTAAGAAATTGGGCCATAAGCATATGCACAGAGAATGTGTTGTTTGTTTTGTTTGGTTTTTTTTCTGAAATTTAGAAATATGGTAAATACAGCTTAGAATGCTGAAATGCACAACATCCTCCCACATGAGGCTCCCAGTGTTATAATGGCAAACAAAAAGCATGATGATTTATGTTCACAGGAGGTATGTTACCTTTTCAGAATATCTGGATTATCATATGTGAGGTAACTGCGACCGATAAATTGTGGGATTTCAATTGCTTCTGTAATGGCTGAAAAGTAAATAAAAAACCAAAGATGAGTGTCAGTTAGCAGACATAGATGAAAAAAAAGCCCAAAACCAAGACTATTTCATTGATTTATTCCCACCCTGGCAGGTACCTTCCTGTGGCACAAAACTGAGCTGAACTAAGAGCCAGTTTGTACCTAAATGTAAGGGCAGTAGTTGGGGCAGTTTAAAGAGCTGAGAGTCCCTCTACTTACAGCCTTCATTGTCATCAGCCTAGTGTATTGCTCCACCATAAATGTCAGCACAGGAAAATATGAAGTATTGGGAAAACATTGCAAAGGTTATTTTTATCCCTGTTTCCCCACTCCTTGATTTTCTGTGTGGTTCAAGCCACCCTCTTGACAAAGCTTCTGCGTTAACTGCCCTTTGTTCTTAGTCTAAGAAACTTCCCTCTGGCTCCTAATGGAGCACCATGTGCAGACCACGTGCTGGGACCTCTCAATCCTGCAAAGCAAGGCCAAGGGCCAGAACAGGCAACCTGTGATCTCCCCATTTCTTCTTCCATGTATGTGCTTCGGCACAGAGCACCTCCTGCCACAGAGGGTTTACCCCTGGGGAGCAGTGAGGGGGAAGACTAACTCTGGGGAGGACATACAGGGTGCCCCTAATAACTTCAGGCCTATTGAAAGCAATGGAGGCTGTGTGACAGAGGCTGCAAAGACTCTTGGCACATGCATTCGACAAGCTGCAGTGCTGCCTTGGAGGTTGTTTTGCTCAGAGCTCACCAGAGTCCCACACACATCACCTCCCATTTCTCTAGGGACAGCTCGTGGTACAGCTGTGGTGTACAGCTGCTGGGACGACAGCATGGACTGCAAACAGACCTGTGGGCATACAGCTGCCCACGGAGAAAACTTCAGCAGAACAACTTTAGATGGATGATATAAATCACTGAACGTCCCTGACACACAGCCTTCACTAGGCTATGAGCACTGGCCTGAACAGATTTTCTTTTGAGTGAAATCCTACAGTTATGCTGCTGATCTCTCCTAAGTGACTGCTTCATTAATATAAGCCAGTTTTATAAATTCCTTAAAATAGCTGCCTTCATCCTATTTCCTTCCTGACAACTAATCCCTTCAACCCACAGCTAATCCCATCTATATAAATTTCAAGCTTTTCAGGGCATGGACGCTTGCTTGCTTTGTGCAATACAGAGGCTGGCTGGGCTGTAAGAGCTCACTGTAACACAGATATGCAACAATTGTTGTAGTCTAGCAGCCAAAAACAGCAATATGAAATTCAGCTTTAAGTGCCAAGACTGAGAATTTTAGATAGTGACAAACGCCTGTTTTCATCCATACTGAAATCAGGAAAGCTGCTCAATGTGCCTAAAGAAACCACCACAGGTGGTCCACAGCCTGCAGCCTGCCAGCATCAGTGAAGATTGCAAAAGATGTGTTACACTCGGCCAGACATTCTGTATCTGACGCTTTCTGCACTGGACAGTCTCTGACCATGGTGGATGGCAGCAAAATGTACAAGGACCCCTTTTATCCCCGTCACATCCCATACCAGCCCTAGAGCCTTTGGCAGGGGAAGGTGCCTGTGACCTTGCTCTGGCTCTCTGACTTCCTCTACAGAGTTTGATGGGTATTTATCTTGCTTTTTTGTATGCTCTGCCCTTGCTGCACTGAATTTGTCCCCAGAAAACTAAATAAATTTTAGCAATGTCCTCAATGAATGAAGGTTCTTATCAACAGGATCAGTAAGGAGATTCAGGACTATACACAGTCACTCTCTGCTCATCACAATTTGGTAAAGAGGCACCAAAGCTCTCAGGACAAGCAGCAGTGAGGTCCGAGCTGCAGGGCAGCCTGAAGTAGCACCCACCCCTGGAAAGCACTCAGCCAGCTGCCTGGCCCCACTGCTTTGCAAATACAGGGACCAGCTCCACAGCCACCGCCCTGCACTCGGCAGGTACTCTGGATGCACTTCAAAATACCAACAGGACAAGGGTTAAGGAAGTATTATATAACCCCAGAAAATATTTTTCCTTATTGACAGAAGCTTGCCAGACTTCATGGAGATCCAGCATCCAGCTTGCTAGAGCAGACAGAGATGCACAATGACAGAGCAGTTTTCACATCATTTGCAGTACTTACTGTTTAGGCAGTAACTTCCACACTCTTCAGTGAGTCAGCACAAAACAAAACAAGAACATTTTGGTTTTATTTTTCCATAGCATAAGTCTCCCTTCCAATGACTCTCCAGTTTCATACCCACCTTTCTGCAAATGTGTGATCCCCATTTCCCTTCTGCGTAGGCAATTATAACCCCCTATGAAGTTAGCACTCTTCTATTAGTGTTCTGCCCACGTATTTATACTTGCCTGCTCAAAACACAAAGGTGCAGACTTGTAGGACCAGCACAAAACCTCTCAGCTCATCCTAGTTTTCAAATCCCACTCACCGTGGTTTATGTGGGGATAAGCTCTAACCAGGGGAAAGCAACGGTTCAGTGTACTACTCCATCTTACAATTAAGTATAAAAACAAATATAACACTCCACAGAGCTTGAACAGAAGTTATAAAACCCAGCAATGCCAGCAGAAACTCTACTGAATCCTCAGACAATACATTACGATAGAGGTCCCTTCCAACCCCTACTATCTGTGAATCTGTGAATCTGTGATAGGAATCAATATCTCATATACCTCATACCAGCATCACTTAGGTTGAGTTTTAGAAGTGGCATGTGTAATTTTGGAGAATGAGGCGCAGTCCCTCACAAGCACTGTGTTTTTTCAGGGCATGGGGGTACAGCAACCCACCAACAAGCAGGGTGGAGACTGCACCTTCAGCCTGTCACATACTCTGAGTGCGCTGACCAAAACCCTCTTCTGAAGCAGGAGCGGACACACGCATGCATCCTGCCTTAGCTATGTCGACAGCCTACCGAAGAGGCACAGGTAAGGGTTATTTTGAGAAATCTGCTCCAGATTCAACAAGGCTGTCTTTAACTGAGGTTCAGGAAGGACATCTGTCAGCAAAACGTTGGATTTTTGGTGGCCGCTGAGGCTGCACAAGTGCAGGGCTGTTGAGAGGCACCTAAACAGCAACCGCAGGCAGCAGGAACAGAAGACAGGTGACTTGTGATTTTGGACACTCTTAAAAATGAATTAAGGCTGGATTCACATAGGAAGCAACACCCAGGATCCAGCCCAAGGCAAAGGCACAAGGTGCTTCAGACTGTCTCTGAAGCCTGGATGCCCATCAGGCTATGACAGGGACAAGAGGGTGGCACGCTGGCCGAACGGCAGCACTGCCGGTGCCATGGGGCCAGTGCAGTGACACTGCTCTTGGGGCTGAGCATGGGTCAGAACCAGCTGAGTGGTGAGGAGCTGTGGCCCAACCAACGCGCAAGAGCCCATTGCAGAGGCAGGCAGGCACACACCCAAGCTGCAATGCATTCACTTGCCTTCACTCCTCCTGGAGACCTCAATACTGCTGCAGATACCGTCTTGAAGTCAAGAGCTTAGCACCCTGCACATGCCTAAAAAGCCAAATTCGCAATTCTCCCTCCTCCCCACAAAGGAACTGGGATAAATGACGTTGCTCCAGCTATTAGTTAGACCACAGCAACGTAAGCAAAGGGGTTTCTTAAATCGTATTTTAATAAATGTTATTGTTCTAAGATACTGTCTCTTTTGGAAGAAAAGGCCAACCTATTCATCACGACTTAACCAAAACCACTACTTTTAACTTTGAAGTTTGTAACTCTGAGAAATGAAGGAGTGAGTGAAGACAATAATGTCAGCCAACTCTTTTGAACTGAGTTGGCTGACACATTACAAAACCGTCCCTTAGGATTCTTTTCAGATCAAGCCTGGCAGAAGGGAAACATCTCCATCTAGTGGAGTAACACAAAGAGCCTTTTCTTTTTTTTTTTTTTTTTTTAACACCATGCAACCTGAAGATGTACCTGAATCTAAGGTTTGAGCTATTACAGTGGCTTTTAGGAAAGAAGAATAATATACATATGGGCAGGTTTTCCTCCTTGGTGTCTACATTAATGTACCAAGGCAGTCTTTGTGCAGACAGTCAAATTACCATCAGAGAAATCAGCATCTAAAAGAGGATTAGACCTTTCTGTATATGAGAACAGTGTTTGTTGTCAGCATCAGAGAGGATAAATTACAAGGGTTATCAACCCTCATGCTCAGGATGTAACACGATCACTGACTGGATCGTTGGCAGGAATATAGCACTGCATAATTAGGGAGGTGTAAGAAGTGTTCAGTGTTGGCCACCATGAGCAACCAGATACCAGGCTGCTATCTATGGATCATAGCTCTGTGCTGGGGTAATGGTGGTGATATTCCTAAATAAAAAAATTAATTCTTCCCTGGGTATGTGGGATGTGCAAGGATGCAAAGGGAGCTCTGGTTTCTGTTTCAAGGGATATGTGCAACAGCACTTGTAGGTGCTAGATCTCTCTTATTTTTGCGATTAACTCTGGATCAAAATACTGCCATCGTTACCTTTTTGGCAGTGTTGCCCATCGAAGCCCAGAGGACAGTCACATTCGTAGCTGTCCTTCTTGGGAACACAGGTGCCTCCATTTGCACAGGGTGAGCTCACGCAGGGGTGGGCAGCGTTCACTAGGTTGACTCCGAAAGTGAAATCATGTTTCACATCGATTGTCCAGTCATTCAAGATAATCTATGAGTTAAAAAAAAATAAAAAGAAAAATAAATAAAGGGAGGAAAAATTCAGGCTAAAACCTTCCAAATTTTCAGTATTGTAATGCTAGTAAGAAGACTTCTCTGGAAGACTTCAGGCAAAGGTAAGCGTCAAAACAAACCCAAAAAACCTGAATCTTCTGATGAGTGTTTTCCAGTCGTAGAGGTCCAACTCATTCCATTGCTCACCCTGACCTGCTAGAGATGAATTTATTTGGTATTTTGGGACACAGACTTGGGCAACCCCCATACGGGGTGAAGCTGTGTTGGATTTACCATTCTCGTCTGAAGAGCAACACAATGCTTCATAGGGGAGCCATGAGCTAGGACTGTGAAATCAGATGAGCGCTGCTGAGGAAAAGCATTTCTGAGCTCAGGAAACCCCCCAGGAGATGAGTGTTGACAACAGAAATACTAAGCAGAACAGCTTGTTTTTCACATTTCCTATTGCTTTCTAGTACCTAATTTTTCCTGAGAGAAGCCAGAGTTAAGAATGAATGAAAAACATAATTAATGACTTCACAAAACTGTTTGTATATAAACCAAAGAGCATTCTTAAATGTTGGGATTTTTCCAATATGTCAGCACTGTGTTCTCCGACACAAGCCAGCATTTGTATAATCTCAGCTGTTATCTTGGCAGAGACATTATATGTAGGTATGTTTTCCCATCTCAGCTACATCAATGTAAGTACGTTTTCACAAACAAATACATTTTTAAGGCCAGAAGTGAGAATGGCAAGAGTTACTCTGGCTCCTGTATAACTCAGACAATGCACCTTAGGGGATGGTCTATTGCAGGGACAGATTTGCATCAATCATATATATTCTGCCTGAATCAGCATTAAACAAGCTCAGCAGCAGAAAAACACCCAGTCCTGTCATGAAGATGAACCAGCAGTGAATTCACTACCTTTGCAGCTTCTTTCTAACTTCTAGCTACCTTGTGCCAAGCAGTTAACAAGCCCTCACTCTTAAAAATATGTCTCTTATTTCTGGGCTTAAACTTATATTCTGCTTCCAGCCATTGTTTCTCATTGGCCTTTCTCTGCATCATTTCAGAGCCACGTACTCAAAGAAATCTCACCCTCACATAGGAACTAGCAGACCACAATAAAGTCACTTCTTAACCATATCTGAGTAAATTGGATCGATTGAGATCTTAGGTCTTTCTGTACATGGCATGTTTTCCAGTACTTGGTGATGTTTGTAGCTTTATTTCTATACAATTCTCCAAAATCCTACTATGTGTGAACACAGTAGTCAACAGTCTCCCAGTGCCCAAAAGGCAGGCAATACTCTTCCTTAATTTCCCATTCAGGCCTCTGAGAAGGCAAATCCACCTTCTTACCTACACCACAGAATTAAGAGCTCGCACTCAGAATTTCCCAATCTTTATCAGTGCCTCTGCACTCTAGGGTACAACCCCATACCTTGTGTGACATATGTTCATTGTTCCTAGGCTCCCTATCCTGCTCTCCAAAATGTCCTGTATTTAGTCAAGTCACCTTCCCAAAGATATTTGTGTGACTGACTTGCTCCCATCACTATCACACACTACCCCGCTTTTCTTAAACTTCGTGTTTTCAGCTAGGCAGCTGACAAAGATAGTGAAAAATGTTGGACCAAGTGCTGAAACCATTTACACGGAATTGTGATTTCCTTTCTGCTATTGATCAATTGCTCTGAGGTGCACTATTAGGGGTTGGGGTTTTTTTTGTATGTTTATTTTTGGTGTTTTTATTTGGGGGGGGTGTTTATTTGTGTGTTCTTAATTTGTTAATTAAATCTGATGCAAAAATCCACTCATTTAAAACTCTGAGGATTCAGGGTCAAACTTTCTGCTTTATGCCAATAATTTTAAGTATGCCTGATCTAGGGAAAGCAAATCTTCATTCAGTTTGAACTTTGGTTACTTATTAGGACTTAGCATGAATTTTCATATTAATTCTCCACAAGATAATTGCACTCATGCACAGCTGACCCCACTAGAATGTCATCTGTAAAATCTCCAACAAGGAAAAAGATGTTCTCTGTTCATGTGCCCCATATAAAACTGTAAGAGGGGAAGGCAGTGATGTGCACAGCTCCTGTGTGGTAAAAGAACACGCTAGCTGGACAGTGATCCACTGTAATTTGCAGCTTTTTTTTCTCTCATTACTGTATTGGTCATATCAGACATTTAGCTGCCTCGCTGTGAATACCTTGAAGTGTCGGGGCATTTCTTTTGTTCATTTATTTATATATGATGCTGAAGGGCACTCTGAGGGCTCTAATCTTGATATAGCTTTATGCATCATTCTGAACTTGATCCCATATGACTTCTACTCAATTATCAGTACAGTACAGCAATTATGATAATATTTACTACCTGTTAAAGTCAGAATGACTTTTCACTGCGAAATACCAGTTTAAGCACTTTGTGGTAGGCTCCTGAGGTGAAATCTTGGATTATTTTGAATACTGCCAGAGGTATAAGACCAGTTTTGACATAAAGTGAGCACTGGATGAGATGGAAATAAATGCCTCCAATGTGTTACTCTGAGGACATACCTTCTGGATGCTCCCACTGAAGGGCCCAAGGACGCCAGAGTTCTTCTTCACAGCATCATAACTAGGGACTCCACCAATAAATATTTCAGAGCTGCACTTAATCTGTGTGAAAGCCCCCTGCAAGAAACATAGGAATAACATTTTATTAGAATAGTTTGAACCATCCTTGTACCTTCAGATTACTTATATTACTTACATTAAATGTTACAGTTTAATGCCTCTTTTTTTCTGTTAATTGTATTTATTTGTACAGTTCTTTAAAGAATCACAGAATGGTTT